GGGGGGGGGGGGGGGGGGGGGGGGGGGGGGGGGGGGGGGGGGGGGGGGGGGGGGAGGGAGAGAGGGAGGAGGCGAATTGCGCGGCTGTATTATGGGGCCAGGCCTCGCAGTGTGTGCAATGGATATATCGGAGGATGTATCGGTGGGCCACCGTGCCGAGTTGCTCCTGCTATCGACATGTCGAGGATGCCTGCCTGCAATCCCCCACTGCTGTGTGTGTTACACACTGGCTCCTATACATTTCAGCTCTCGCTCGCTCGCTTGCACCGGTGGATGACTCTGTTTGTCCCTTCAGTATCGCAATACCTCGGCACGGTATCCCTCCTCCACCGAGCACCCCTCAGCAGCCGTGTCCGTATGGTGAACGTATAAAGCACAAACCGCGTGCCACCCCACTGTTACCCTGGATATGTCGATGGATGACAATAAGGCTAACTGGACCGGGTATCGTAGTTCTTGATCGTAAAAGTGGTTTCTTTTTGAAGAGGTTTTTTTATGAGATTGAGATTAAAGGAGGGAAGGGTGGAGAGATGGTTTTCTCGAACGTCAATTGGTGTTTGGGGGGGGAGGGGGGGTGAGATGATAATGAGGGGAATTTTATGGGATTGTTCAAAGGGTTTTTGTAGTTGCATTTTGGGACTTTGCACGGAGAGAAATATTCAATAAAAATTATATATCTTTTCCGTAATTCCGGCGCGAAATGTGGCTGTAGGAAATTTTACGGAACTGTCACGGAATTTTTCCAGAGCGTTCGGCAGTTTTTATCTGAATCTCCTGTGAAAAATTACCATACCGTCACTTAAATTTTCTGAGTCGATTCCGTAATCGGTGAGCGAGTTGTGATTTCCGTAATTTTTACTGAATATTTCTCTCCGTGTGGGACATAACTAAGTCTCTTTGGAAATTCTCAGCAAGTGTCATTTTTACTGAAATTTCAGAAAACATTGTCATCGAAAAGTCATGTATTGATCTTCGCATGATTCGATCAGGAACGCAATGAAGGCTGCAAATTTCAGTTCAATTGTACCATAAAAATTCACAAAAATTCGGAAAATTCAGTCGCTTTGGTCCTGAATATTGATTGTTAATTGGAAATTCAAATACGTTTTGAAATTATGGTCTGAGTTCTGCTTGAAACTTATGAATTTACTTCAATTATACTGAGGAATTATGATGATAATGACGGGAATTATAAGCAAAACTAGAAATTCCATATGCATACTTTTCTCTTAAATCAAATTTAATTCAATTAATCAATTGCAAAACTTTTTTTCCTGTAAACAAATTCATTTTTGACAATGTGTACGCAGAAACGTATGTCCTTTACATATTATCAATTTTTACAAAATCACCGACAGAAAAACCTAAACGTAAATTACGCCCAAATAAAGCATCTTTTACGAATATGAAATCATAAACTACTATTATATAATCTTAATTTATGACGATTTTGAGTGCAATTTACGCCTCAACTTCAAACGTGAAATACGTTTTAGAACCCGTAAAAAACTACTTCCTAAACGTAATTAACGTTCAAGTTTTTGTGAATGCAATCAATTCATTTGACTCGCTCAAATATATTGTTGTTTCATCACGCAACAATTCCTATTCAAAAGTTTATGAAAAAAAAACAGTTCAGTTTTGATCAACACCTCTAAAAATAGCAATGATTCCTTTCAGTAAAAACAACTGCCACGTCACCATTCGTTTCCGATTATATGAGAATAAAATGTCTGCATCACATCACAAATTCACCTATCTAACCCCAAGCTCCTTAGCGCTAAACCAAAATCGATGTTTCCGCAATATTTCACTCCCTCAAATCCCGATTTTATTTATACATTTTAATTTATGATGTTATTTCCTTGTTTTTCGGAAACATTTCATCACGCGAATTTACAAATGTATGCAAATTTCACATCGACAGATGCCTGTTGAAAAGTCAAAGAGCAAGTCTGAAGGGCGAGCGGTCGAGGGTTGAGAGGGGGGAGGGGAGTAACATATATAACAGTATTATATGAAAGAGGGGCTGAAAGCCTCCGTGCACCGGATGTGCAACTGTTTCGCGGCGATCGAGACGCGAGAAGCGTTTCCTCACTTCTCGTTTCCCTCTCCCCCCGGCCTCCTCTCACCTCTTGCACGTTTTAACCTCCATTAGTGACCCAGGGGCCTTCGCCCTTCTCCTCTCTCTTACACCCCAGCACTTTACCTTCAAAGTATCATTTTCTTTCTCGTACGTTTTCTCTCTCTGTTTCTCTTTTACGTTTTACAAGGGTGGAATAGAGTTTACGGTGTTACACACGAACTCTCCCCTACCCCCGGACAACTTAATGTTATGTAAAAATACCAGGCGGCATCCACAAACCTTCCAGTCTCTTCTTCCTCTTCCTCCTCCGAATGCTCAGATATCCACCGTTACATTAATGTACAGCCCAGTAAAAGTACAGGAGATAAAGACAAAATGGATGAAAGAATAAAAAAATGCCGAAACGGGAAGGGAAAAACGTAAAGGGAAATGAGCAGATGCGCTCGGAATTTGGAAAACATGATATTTCTGAGTTTTACAAACATTTAACAATAATTCATGGATTTTTAGCGGAATTTTAATGTTAATTGAAAATTTAAAAATTTATTTACCTGAATTTTTCTGATTTTACTGCATTTTCATGTAATAGTTGAACTAAAATTTGCAGTTCCCATTGATTTTTTAATCGAACTGCGCCTTTACAATGACGAAATTCCTTGAAATTTTAGACAACCTCTACGTCAATGTATACAACTCAGTAAAAGTACAAGCGATAAAGACAAAGTGAATGGAAGAATTTAAAAAAAAGTCATAATAATTCACATCTCACGGATTGTGTTTTTTAATCGTTATTTTACATCGCTTCGACCCGGTTAGGTTACGCTGCAATGATGATCAAGACTTTAAATGGCTAGATCGCACCATTCTATACCCGGCCGGGATTTGAACTCGTAACCTTTCACATGTGAGGCAACGAACTCACGGATGGTTTAGTAGTAATTTTCACGAGATTGACATTGAATTCGATTTAAGAGGAAAAACATGAAAATAATTTAAATTCAATGGAATTCCATTCAATAAAATTCCGATGAAAATCCTCTAAATTCAATGGAATTCCTCAACTTGCTGAAATTTTGCATCAAACATGAATATTCGCTGCCAAATTACGCGGAATTTTAACAGCCATTGAAAATTCGCGAGTTTATTAACCCGAATTTTCCTGATGTCGCTGCATTTTCATGAACTAGTTGAACTAAAATTTACAGTTCGCATTGATTTGTTCAAAGAATTGCAAGTTTACAATAATGAAATTCCAAACAGCCACCAACATTCTCTTCCGCCAGATCCACCGTTACATCAATGTACAACCCAGTAAAAGCACAAGAGATAAAGACAAAATGGATGAAAGAATAAAACAAGATCAACAGCGAAGAAAAAATGTGAAGAGAAATGAGGAAAAGCAAAAAAAACAAGGGCGAGAACCGAACGCAGATGCGCTCACTGGAATTTAAACAAAAATAAACTAGAATTTAAAACCACGGCGAATAAGTAATAACATCCTTGCATAGACTCGCTCATCCCTGCATAAACCGAGGCTACGATTTCATGATTTTAATTGGCCTCCAACTTCACTCGGGAGGTGTTTTTTTTATTTGTCCATGGTATTTTCCTCTTTTAGCTCACGTTTACGGTTAAAGTTGGCCAAGATTTGCCTTTCTCTGAAAAGTTTTGCTTCTTTCTTCGTTCCGTTATACGATCTATCTCATTTAAGAAAGTTTATCCAATGGCTTTATACTTCGAATATCATTTATTTTATTGAATAATTGGATGCTATTATAATTATGTAAGACTTTGATTATGTAGAATGAAGTTTGGGAGGAGGAGGAGATGGGGATGCGGGAAATAAGTGTATCGGCTCTCGAGACTGTTTAGCGAGTCGTTCCCTTTATTTTCGATGATATGTACTTGGCCAGAATTTTCATTCGGGGGTAATGAGACAGCAGTGATACTGCTATTGGGTGCAGTTACTAATTCAGGTGGATGAATTTTTGAGACTATGCCAAGTGTCAGAGGTGCTGAAGACGTTGGGAGAGTTGCCGGGGGAGTTTTGGAAGACTTGACAGAGGATTTATCAACTCCTTCGCTTCTTTGTGCGCCTTTGAAAAGAATCTTCAACTCATCACCCTTTGTTGAGGATCTCCATGCAGTGAGTGATGATCCATTACTCAGGAACTTGAGGTTTGCATCGAAGATTCTTGGGAACTCTCCGGGTACGTAATCACCTTGAGCTATTGATCGTTCTGTCGCGTTCGGTGATTTCATTCGGTGTTGGCTCTTCTTGTGACTATCAGCCTTGTGTATCTTCTGGTCATTAGATGCTATTATAATTATGGTAGACTTGAAATAGATAGAGTAAACTTTCGGAGGAGTTTATGGTGATATGGGAAATACGTTTATTCGAATCTCGACACTGTTTAGAGTTCGCAAGTTGTCCCCTTTATTTTCAATGATATTTACTCGGCCAGAATTTTTGTTCGGGGGTAATGAGGCAGCAGTGGATGAATTTTTGAGGCTTTGCTAAGTGCCAGAGGCGCTGAAGACGTTGGGAGAGTTGCCGGAGAAGTTTTCGAAGACTTGACAGAGGATTTATCAACTCCTTCGCTTCTTTGTGCGCCTTCGAAAAGAATCTTCAACTCATCATCCTTTGTTGAGGATCTCCATGCTCTCGAAGAGGAGGGGCTCATCGTCAAATAATCATCAGTGAGTGATGACCCATTACTCAGGAGCTTGAGGTTTGCATCGGAGATTCTTGGGAACTCCTCGAGTAAGTAATTAGCTTGAGCTACTGCTGGGTTCTGTAATTACTTGATTTCTTTCGGTCTCTTCTTATATCATTGCGTCTTTTGTTCGTCTTGTCATTGCATGCTGTTATAATTATGTTAGACATTTATGTAGAATAAACTTTGGGGGGAGTTTACGGCGATACAGGAAAAACGTTAATTCGGCTCTCGAGACTGTTTAGAGTTCGCGAGTTGTCCACCTTATTTTCAATTACATTCACTCGACCGGAATTTTCTTCCGGGGGTAATGAGGCAACAGTGATACTGCTATTGGGTGCAGTTATTAATTCAGGTCGATGAATTTTTGCGACTATGCCAAGTGTCGGGGGTGCTAAAGATGTTGGGATTGTTAGTGAAGAAGTTTTCGAAGACTTGACAGAGGATTTATCAACCCCTTCGCTTGTTTGTGTGCCTTCGAAAAGAATCTTCAAAACATCATCTTTTGTTGAGGATCTCCACGCTCCCGAGGACGAGGGGCTCATCGTCAAATGATCCTCAGCGAATGATGACACATTACTCAAGAACTTGAGGTTAGCATCAAAGATTCTTGGTACCTCCCAGGGTAAGTAATTAGCTTGAGTTATTGACCGTTTTTTCCGCAAATGTTGGTCTCTGTGATGATGGGATTTCTTTCGGTGTTTGTTCTTCTTGTGATTATGAGCCTTGTGTTTTTTCTTCTTCCGTCCTTTTTCCACTTGCCTCCGTCTCCGGCTTTGATAGCTCTCGGCTTTGAGGGGCAAATCCTGCAATTCATCGTCATCTTCGTAGAGCTGGGAGGCAAAAGGGTGGGAGTGGAGAGCGCTGCCTGAGCGTTTTTTCGGGGATGCTGATTGAGGTTTTGCTTTCTCCTTTGATTCGATGTATTTCAGGAGCAAGTGCAATTGTCTTTCCTACGGGTATTCAGGGGCATTCAGTGAAATGTGTCTCAAGTGGTTCCTTAGAAGGAAAGGCTTTTGGTGGTGACTTACGAGGTAATCGTGCACTGCCTGGACTTTCGTCTGTTCCTTCTCGCTAAGTGCGAGATACTCTTTTATCAGGCCTTTTAACAAGCGAACCTTTCGGTAGAGATCAGTGGGCAGCGGTGTCTGGGTCTCGGGTTGTTGGCTGCTTGACGACTGGAATCTCTCGGGCTTGGAATTCTCCTCCTGCTGGTGCTTGGGGTGGACCACTGGCTGGGCCGTTGTTCTCTGAATTCAATGAGAAACAATGCTCGTGGATAATTCACTGGTAATTACGGGGGTGGGGAATGCTAGTACCTGGATGTCGCGTGACTCCTCGTCTCCCACCATCCACACCAAAAATTCATGCAAATGCGGTGGTAACTTTGTGCAAGTCTTATGGTGAACTTCGGTTGACACGAGGTGACCCAAAAGCTCCATGACCTTCTTCATTATCTCTTCGGTACGTTTTATCTGGGCAAAGAGAATATGCTGAGTTTTCGATGAAATAGTAATGGAAGTTGGTTATAGTTGCCTCTTCTGGATCACTGGGTTCCGGTATCGCGGGGGGAAGTGGACCGGGTTTGGCGCGACGACTTAAACCTGAGCCTAGCTTCGCTTTTAATGGCTCATTTTTCTGAACCTGAAAGATTCATATCGGATTTAAACGAGAGCTGACGTTCGTAGGACGGGGTAATTGAAGGAATAGCTGATTCGTCTTTTGGGATATTTATTGAGAACTTAAGGTGAGTGCAAGGTTTTGAATGTTGGAGAGTGGAAAAGGATTTTGGACGAAGCTTTGGTGGAGAGAAAAGTGACGGAGGCAAAAGAATTAGTTTAAAATGATTTATCAATTTTCAGGAATTGGAACCAGAAATTTAGGCGACTTTACAAGATTTTTTTGGAATTTAATACCCATATACTATTTTCTATAGAAATTCCTCATCTCAAATCTTGTAACTTTTTTTCACTGATTTTTTCAATGAAAAAAAAATATAAATCGGGTAGAAAAGTCTTAGGAAATTCATGTCGATAAGTTCTTATAGAAAATATCTCAATGGAAAAAGTGGAACAAAAAAATTAAATTAAATCGGGCAAAATTTAATATAATTTTCAACAAAAGTTCAATGTAAAATCCAATAGAATTTTCTATCCAATTCACTAGGTTTTTCTATGAAATATTTTCGCATGTGCAATGCACATAATAGAACCGTGAGCTTCCTAAACTATTACTACAATTCAGACTCAAAATTTATAATTTTTTCTCTCCGCAAAGACAAAAAAAACGATCCCCTCGATTCAAATGAAACATTTACCAAATTATCATCCTCACTTGTTCAAAAATTTTATCCACAATTTTTCCAGCGAGATCTCCGCGCACAGCGAGCCCCATTTGCTCCACATCCTTTGAATGCGCACCCCCCACAAGTCTGCCCACTCGAGGCCCTCCATTCGTGCCTCGTTTCACTCTTTTCACAGTATCAAACTGAGTTGAACGATTTTTAAGAAATTTTTGTTTCCCTTTGAAATACGGCCTGCTCCTTCTATGAAGATAAGTGAGTGCCCTTGGATGCCAGAATTCTTTGAAATTCTGGTTACTGTCACGGTGTCTGGTTACACTTCTTGAGAAACCGTCGGGCGGTATTCTCTCGCTACTTGTGAATTCACTGACCTCGGAGTTTGTCTCGAACGCTTGCATAAGTTCTCTACCAAATCCCATCTTTGTATTTTCTCGGCTGTCATAATCCAGCCACGGCCAGTTGTAGGGCTCCACTATCGACTCATAACGCATTATTGGGCCAAGTTCGCTCGAACGCTTTCCCCTTGGCTGTTTGTTCGGGGTTGATGTCTCTTTGTTTATGGATTCACGGTGAATTTCAAAAGGCGATTCGCCATTGCGAATCAACTTGAGGTCCCCCTGATTTTCGGGCTTCTGGTCCTCTTCCTATTGGATAAAATCTTTCTCCTTGGCGACAGATGTATTTTTTATTTTTGGTGCGGCACGCGGAGAAAGAAATCAACGAAAAATCATGAGAAAGGGGAAGTACATATGAGCGAGTGGTGTGAAGTTTATATTTTTTTACACTTTTACATGCAAAAATCGCAAGTTTAGTGATCTACGAAAGAATTACGTTGGAAAGGGGTCAATTCATTCTTCACATTCTTGAGAATATAAAACATTCAATTACTATTTTTTATTCAAGCTGTATGATGATTAGTATATTTATTTTTTCTTTCGCTATCTCTGCATTATTAATAATTTTGGCTTAAATTTCGGGTACAGTTCTCGGAAATTTTTATCGCATTACAGTTCCACGGAAATGTCAAGGAGTTGGGAACTTTCATTACGGAAAAGTACCAATCGTTAAAAAAATTAATAGAACTGTAAATTTCAGTTCATTTATTCCATGAAAATTAGGAATATCCAAGTACTTTGGCTATTTTGTCTCCAGTGAAATGATTTTTTGCTTTTGTAGTCGAATATCAGAGCTTTCACTTGAGCCCCGTTTGACCCAGTTTTCGGACATTTTACAGTGATTTTATTATTTAAACATTAGACTGATAGAATGATTCATTTATTCCAAACGAGATTCGTTAACTATTAACGAATGGTAGAGTTGAGTATGACCAAATGAATACATCAACAATTTTTCCTTTCTCAAATTTTTTCTTTGATTCAGTATGAAATTCTTTTGCTCTCCGATTACCTAGATTGTAAACTATTTTTTCGTTGATTTTTTTCTCCGTGTACCTGGAGGGATTTCCAGTGTTTATCGTTCTGAATTTCGTTGACATTGGAGAAGAAAACGTTGCGGGAGTCTTCGAGTGAATTTCCCTGTTCAACTCCTCCTTTAAACATATCGTCTGTGACTTTCAAGGCCTGATAATCACTTCCAGATGGCGATGAACTGTTGTCTTCAGGGGGGTTTACTGGGGATATTATGAAGAACGTTTGACCGGGATTTGAAGCTTTTGGAGATCGTCTGTGATAAAATGAAGAGGCGAAGGAACAATTTTGAAAATGGTGCGGTGGAAAAGGGGATTAAGGATATTTAAGTCCATTTTTTCTTCAGCGAAATGATTTTCTACTTTTCATTTTCTACTTTCATTTGAGCCCCATTTGACCCTAAGTTTCCGGACATTTTACAATCATTTTATTATTCAAACTTTGCAGGTCGGAATTTGAATCTCGATATTAAACCGTTACAAAACATTCAAAAAATCTGAAAAAAATAGAAAGTTTACGTTTGGAGGAAAATTAACGAAATAATTGAGAAATTTTAATTTAAACAATTTCAATAATTCATTTATAAACAACAAATATTGAAGAATAATAATTCTGTGGAAAATGTAATTTGAAAGACGCGGAAAATTAATGACTTTTTTAATATTTTGCTCACGCAATTTAATTGTCAAATTTGATGATTGAAAATGGTTTAATACTGGGACATCCTTAAATGACGTACATGTTGGGTTCACCAAGTCCATTAGCCCTTGCAGGAATGATCTCGTACTCCTGAATCTCCAGAAAATGCGAGTGAACGAGCATTCCATCTCCCCCATCCTCTTCATCCCTGTGACATCGAGCCTCACGTCTGTGAAAGTGTTTCAAATTCAGAAATAATGTTAATCTCCTACCTCATCCTAATCTTCTCGATCTAACCCAACCGTATCGCCATCCAGATCATTAGCGATCTCCATGTCCCTGTCCTCGCGATTCTCACTCGCCTGATCGTCGAGATCCACGATTAATTTTTTATCCTCGGGACGAACTTCATCGCTGAGGAATTCTTGACGGGGGGAAGGAAGTGTAGTAGTGTCTGATGCGTTTTGCGTTGAAGTAGCCACTTCTTTTTTTATTGTCTCCATGTCACTTATCGTTGCTATTAGTCAGAATGAATGGGACAAACCGGCGGGTTAGTGGATTTTTTTTCAAATCGAAAGCAACTAAATTACATGATGAAGAATAGGTCAATTTTATAAAAAATTAAGTTATTGCAATTTGCGTTAAGCAATTTGATCGAATTCGAAAATTTGATCGAAAATTTGATGATCGTCTTCCATTTTTGATATCACCTGATGACTGAATACTAATTTCCAGTAAAATTCTGTGAATATCGGCATAGATCGGCATCAATCATTACTTTAGTAATAAATATTATGAGAAGTTGCACCTTACAGTAATTTAGATTTATTTACCGTAATTGAAATTTGAAAAATAATATAATAATTGGTAATTTAATTCCTCAATTATTGGTTGATAAAATAATTCGGAATTTACCGACAGCCGTGGCTGTGTGGTTAGAGTATGGGATTGGCACGTGAGCGACCCGGGTTCGATACCCGGCTGGGGGGCCAAAATTTGTAACACTCTAATCTCACAGTTTCCCTGTCGAGCGGGAGTCTCGTTAAAAGGACGACTGTACCTGGGTAGGTTTTTCCCTCAAGTGAGGTTTTCCCTCGTCCTTTGGCGAATGCAGTACAGAGGGTTGGGGGGAGGGGAGGGAGGGAACAAATCGTAAAAACCCGAAAGAGTATACGAGAGAAAATAATTTTTTTAATTCGAAATTTGAAAATTTAAATTGATGGTTATTTTTAGAATCAAAAAATTGATGAGTAATATTGACAATTGACTTATTTCAAATTTAACTGTAATTCAAAATTTCGATTGCGCCGATGTCTGAATATCAGTACACTTGCGGGATAAAACGTATTCCAAAAACATTTTTCTTAACAATCGGAGAAAAAAGTTCCAGTTCAAAGAAAAAATCTCTGAATAATTTCTCCTTCTAGAACAATTTTTCTTGAAAATCAGTAAAAAAAAGTTCAAATTCTCAGTAATGTGTCCTTAAACTTCACATCATTGTTCTCAGTTTAACCCCAATTATTTATTAGATTGAGGAATCCTCATCTTTTAAACTCAGAGTATTGGGACTCTTAAATTACGGAGATTCTCGTTTGGGAATTGATGAGTTTCCCTGCTCACAAATTAATGTCTCTGGAAATCCTCATGTTATACCAATGTAATTCGTCGACACCTTGACTCAATTAACGATATATTTATGTTTAATTTCCTCTCAATTATGTATATTAGAACCATGAGTGGCTTAAAATCTGTAATTCACTTCCAAATACTATAAACGATCGTTCCCTCTGTAATAATTCTCCACTTCCAATAAATTCCTTTAAAACAACATCTCCTCGACAAAAAAATTGACAAAAAAACTAATAAACGACGTAACAAAGCAATGCGATCAAAATAATTGATTACAACTCACTAGTACTACCACTCGCATTGACAGAATTCATCGAGTCTCGTTTCCCCACATCTCCCTCGTAATCATAGTACTCAATGATACCACTACCAGTTAAATCGGAAATTGGATAACGTCTCCTTTCAACCTTCATATTCTTCCCGAGATTCCTCGCTGGTGAGTTTTCACCGGAGAATCCCAGGTCACCAAGAATCGTCTCAATATCCACCTCATTCGCTGCACTCCTATCCCCAATTCCATCGGCATCTTTATCACTCCCATAATCTCTTATCGCAGCGCGTCTTCGGTGACCGTGCTTTGACCAGAGGAGTCGTCTCTTGCTGTTTCGTGTTCTGTAGCTACCGGGATTAATAATCCTGTCGATTGATTTTAATTCGTCTTTGGCTCGCAGGACATTTTCCAGAAAGCTGTTTAAAGCTGGACCGTTGATGTCATCCTCCACCTGCACCAGGCAATAATCCCAGTTTTTGAGCTACAGAGGTTTTTTTCCAAATTTGTGAAAAACTGTTTGCAATAACAATTACAATTTCTTTTTTTTAATAAAAAATGGCACGATTCATGTAAAATAGCCCAAAAAATGTTTCTGAAGGAATCGAAAATATATTTTAAATATTTTAAGGATAATTTTTTGGCCTATTTTACATGAATAACGCAAATTTCAATATTAAGCAAAACAAAATTGTTATTGTACACATTTTATCAAAAATTTTGAAAAAAAACATCTGTAGCCCAAAAATTGCAGGCCCTGGACAATAAACAATTAATTTTTTTGCACTAATTTTGCACTATAATCCGCGACTTTTGAACTCATCGTATAGTCTCCCGTTAACATATCACGTTATCAGGTGTTAGTAAAATGGTAATAATGATAATGTCGTAGGTTTACAACATCTGTCAGGAGCGAGAACTCCACTTGACGATAAACGTTTTTGATATAATTTTAATCATATCGTAAATTCGTTAAATTGGTAAATTGGTAAATATAAATTGGTAAATATTAAATTGGTAAATGGCTAAATTATTGGATGATAGAATATTTCGAAATTTAAATGTAAAAATTGATGGTTAATTTAATATTAAATTTTTTTAAGATTTATGTTAAAAATTGACAACTTTACCTTTTAACAGTAATTATCATTGACCGATATGCCTATCACTGTTCTGGAATTTTACTGAATTTTCAGTGCAACTTGACCTTTCCTGATTTTTTCCCCCTAAATCACATTCAGTGTCACTGTCCTGAAAATTCGTAGTCAACTGTCCATGAAATTTCATTTTTTTCCAACAGCGTATCTGATACCTTCAACCTTCTCATCATCATCATCATCTCGCAACTCATTGCGTATTTCACTGATTACGGTCTCTCACTGCATTACCACATCTCCATCCTCCCCATCATACATTGATTCAAATGTAAGATAATCCTCTCAACGCGAGTAATATCATTCTCCCTCACCCCCCGCCTCCGCCGAGCCAAAAAAGTAATTGTAACTAGCCGCGGAAGTAACACGTTGAAGAAGAAAAAACAGACGTCAGAAAGGTCTAGAGCGCAGAGAGGCGTGTGCAGATGTACAAGAACCAAGACACCATGTAGAAAGCTCTCTGCCTCTGACAATCTGACTCTCTGCCCTCTCCCTCCATCCCTCTGTCTCCCCCCCCCCCCCCC